AGGACCATTGCACATGTCTTCAAGTATCTTCTTTTGTCCTAGAGTCACCCAAATTTTCTGTTTTTAGCAGAGTAAATGAAGCTTAAGCCAAACACGCAGGAAACGAAATGGGCAATAAAAGCCCTTGAAAGATGTCCAGCCTTCTTACCAGATTTGTAATTTTTCCTCTAAACATTACCTTTTCTGCCTTCTGGCACCGAACAAGGCCCAAATAATTTTACCTACATACGGAACATTCCAGAACATGGGTAAGAGGAGTTTCCATGCCCTACTGGGCATATACCCAAACTGAAAAGTCAAGGTAACACAGAAAGCAGATGTAAAACAAGTTGGGGTCTTTGGATGGAGTCGGCCAGCTGTCACATATGCACTTCACTGGAGCTCCTTTGCCTGCACAGGAGAAGCTTCAGGCAATGCGGCAGAATGAAGCCAGCGTGAGGCTGGGAATCTAACCAGCAATTGCATATCCAATGACTAGGCACTTTTTTTTTCTTTTTTTAAAAAAAACCTCTCTGCCCCGAGCATACAAGGACGTCTTCACACTCCATTAATGTCACGGAGAGGTCCGGAAGGAGAGACGTGATCATACTGCCTTCTGCGGCACTGGATATGCGTGTGGCCTTTGTCCATGATGCTGTGTGTGTCTTCCACAGAGGCAAAGACTGTGGGTGCAGGGCAAGCAGCCCTAGAAGAGTTCCAGCTAACATGCCATATGCATTTGTACTCTCTTCTAGGAAGATACTGGAAGAACATTTTTCAGACAAATCTCTGAATCATGACCGTAAGTGACAGTGTCTTTGCCTTGGGTCCATCTCCTAATTTGGACCTCAGTTCTACCCATCTCTTGTTTCTAACATTCACTGTGTGGGAAAGCACCACTGCTATACTATTTTTCCACAATGGAATATTTATCAACCCAATAGGACATACTGCTTTTAAATTTCTACAGAATTCACCTAGATTGTCTCACAAAGAAGTTCTTTTACCCTCATGGTCCTTTCAAGTAAATGTGACTTTGCTAGGGCAAACCAGCTAACACTCAAAACCAAGGTAAATCCAAACAAAAGAAAATGCTTCAGCATTTTCAGAGAAAAGTGACAGCCTGAGTGGGGAGAAGGATAGAAGGAAAGGCATTCTGAGAAATTTCTTTTCCTTCCAATTGTAATGTATGCTTGAAGAATCTGCCATAAGATAAAGCCTTTGTGAAAATATGGTAATAACAGACACAAAAGCACAAGATTTTTTAAAAAGCAGCTTCAGAAAGAAGACTGCGTAAAACGTCATGATGTGGTTGAGTGGATTTTTATGGAACTCTAAACATGCATTACCAGGCCCCACATAGGGGACTGAGCTACAACATCCTGGCATGAAGAGAGTGCTGGCAGACGGATGGGTGGTATTGGAGAAATGACATAGCTGAGCTCCTCCTGCTTTGCCATCTAGAGATTTTCTTTCCAGTGCAGGCAGTGAGTTAACTGCTCAGTTTCCTAATTTTCAAAAAGTGTCTTTGAGGGACTGTGGCTAATGTGTGTTTCTTTTCTACACTTGGTTCCAATGTCACATGCAAATCACCAGTCGTGCAAGAATCGGAGTACACTGACAGAAACCATCCTGGATAATTCTGCTTATGCCAGCTAAACAACTTGCATCATTAAATAAACCATCCTCTGACTGTATTTATGAAATGTTATGTCTGCCTAGCAATAAGCCTACATTATTTAAACATGAAAGTGGAGGCCCATTCAATTTACCCTTGTCTGACAATATTTTTTCTTTTTCATCTGGTTCTACTGAAAGTAATCATATGCACTCCATGAAGAAACCCATGTGACAGAGCAGTCAGTCAGGTAATTGGAGGGGAGAGAGAGACATTAATAAACAGACTGTTAGTCAAAGATAATTCTTGTATTTACATGGACAGAAAACAATCTAGAGATGTTGAAAATGGTTTCAATTCTGCTGTGGGTTCTCCAGTCCACTGGAGACTTGTTCTGGGGAAAGGTTGTTCAATGAACACTGGGCTTCCCAACCTGCACTGTACATTTCAAACTCCTACCAAAAAAGCAGCCCAACCTGTTATAGGCAAAATCTATCCCAAAAGGCCATCAAAATAGCCAGCCACGAATCTTGTGATAAGCACTCCATATGAAAAATGCTCTTGAAAACCCTTTGGCAAACCTCTGCTGATACAGGGCGATGCATAGGCTTTTGGTGCCTACTGCAAAATTAAAATATAAAACACAGCCCTCGCCACTAAAGAACTTGTAGTCTAGTCGGGAACCAATACTGAAACACAGGAGAGATCATCACACATCAGAAAATGGCATAAAGTTAAGTCCTGGTTTGAATAAAGAGAACGGCTTGACCACACAGCTGTCCTCCCTAGGGGATGCTCCTCTCGGAGAAGGAACTGATCTGGTTCTTACACCCTCTCTGACCCTCAGCACTACTTGGAAGAAACTATTCATTATTAGCTACAAAGGTGCAGAGAATCCTACAATCATTTATGTGTGGTTTGGAAATCAGGTCTTCCCCCCCCCACCCCCAGAATGGGTGTGACCAACAATCTTCGAATCTACTTCAAAGAAAACAGTTAAATGACACAACCATGAAGTCCTTTGGAGAAAAAAGGAAACTGGCCAACCTCAATTCGTGACATGCTAAGATCTATTTTACTCAGGGAACTGGTAGATCTTATCTTAGGCTGGTACAACATCAAAATAAAAGGGTGCTGTGGTGTTTTTCCTTCTTGAAATTCCCCTGTTGCATTCAAGAACAAGCTGACAAAGTAAGGAGGTCATAGGTGTGTGGATGAGCAGCCCTTCGAAGGGACTCATGTAATCCTCTGGGGTCCTGACTATGCAGAGGATGGCAAGGGGAGGGAGTAGGACATGGGGGAGTGAGAAGAGCGTAGGGGCAGCTGTGTGCAGGGGCCTTGCAAGGCCTGCAGGGCATGGTTGACAGAAGGCTCCCACGTATGAAATCCTTCCTTTGTCTTTACTTAGTTGGAGGGTAAAAACAATCCCTTCTTGTTTTCTTTAATTTCAACTCAAAAGAAAACTGCCTAAGAAAAACAAAAAAGGAAGCTTTTTCACAAGGCTGAGTTCCTTGAAAGAATGTACTACCAGATCTTGTATTTTATGCTTCAAACTCATGTCAGTAGGCAGTTCAAGCTCACATACAGCCATGCAAACTGCATCCTATCAGGTTTCGGTTAAAGGATGCAATTAGTTCATGGTATCGCACATACTTATGAGTAAATTCCCTATGAAGTGGGACTCACCTGGATACCAAAACTAAAGTGGATCCCTAACCATAATCATCAGCCATCCAGTTAAAGATGGAGCCTTAGAGCTATAGGAGAATAAATACTAAACACTAGTTACACATGCACACATGGAAACATCTTCTAGCTTGTGGTCAGCCACTTGCATGCCAGCTTGTAAACAGTGTTGTCTTGGTAAATAGTGTAGTTAAATTTATGCAAAATAACAAACAGTTATTGGTGCTTAGTAAGGTTCAAGTACTGAGCTAGGCATGAAAAGCAAAAGATGAGAAAACAGGCTGTCTTCAAGGAGCTCAGTTTAGTGCAGTGACATGTGTAAACCCGTTAAATGCTGCCCCACAGGTGGGTGTCCACAGGGAGCTATGCAGACGGTAACCCAATGGGAGCAGAGGAAGCTGTTGAAGTGGGGAGGCAGGCCAGAATCTTGAGGGGTGAGAAGGGAACAGCCAAGTTAAAGGGAATGCAAGTGAAACCATCTCCTTAGGACTGCGGTGTGGGAGCAGTTTAGGGAGAGGGTGCGCAAACTGGTGAAAACTGTGAAGAACGACAGTTTAGGTAAGGGTGAGAGGCTGAATGAGGACCAGTGATGCTGAGGGTCTGGACAGGCTGGAGCTCACTGTATTTCAGAACAGGTTTAGTGGGAGTCAGAGGTGTGATGTTGGAGTGAAATCTCCTGAGGTGCACTGTTCTCAGTCGGACAACACAGGTCAGAGCAACGGCAGGAGGAGGCAATAGAGGAGCGGATGGAGGGGCCACAGCAGCTGAGTCCAGGCAACATAGGCAGGGAGGGCTAACACATGCGGAAATAATCTAGAACAAAGGCGCTGGGGTCGAAAGTACCATTGTCCTCAGTGGATACGACTGAAGGACAGAATATTTACTGAATGATAAGGTGCATTAGAGGATGCCTTCAGCATCCAGGGAGGAGAGGTTTCCAATCCTCTGCAAGTCACACAGCTCCTTACCAGAACGCTTGCTTCCATTCATATATCTATTTTTATTTTATATTTACATATTCATTTTTTGAATTTAAAAACATTCATTAGGGTATAGTGATGTGCTATGTTGTGTTAGTTTCTGCTGCATAGCAAAGTGTATCAGTTATACATAAACCCATATCCACTCTTTCAGATTCTTTTCCCATCAGATCGTTACAGAGAACTGAGGCGAGTTCCCTGTGCTATACTGTAGGTTCTTATTTGTGGTTGTTTTTCAGGTGAGTCCTATTCTTCTGCCACCCCATGAACTGGAGCCCACCAGGCTCCCCTGTCCACGGGATTTCCCAGGCAAGAATACTGGGGTGGGTTGCTATTTCCTTCTCCAGGGGATCTTCCTGACCCAGGGATCAAAACCGTGTCTCCTGCAGGTCTCCTGCATTGCAGGCAGATTCTTTACTGCTGAGCCACCGGGGAAGTCCAGGTTCCTATCAGTCATGTATTTTGTATACGGTATAGTATGTAGTGTGTATTTGTCAGACTCAACCTCCCAATTTATCCCTCCTCCTACCCCTCACTTTCCTCCCTGGTGACCATGAGCTTGTTTCTACAGGTAAACAGCTGGGAGAAGTGAATTTTGACATCTTTTTGTAGATCCAAAGAAATAAATTTTAAAGAGCTAAATGAGGAGTTTTTTGTTTTTGATATAAGAGTCACCACATCCTAAAATTATAAATAACAGAAAAAACTACTAAGATAATTTTAGACAAATAACATACCAGAAACTCCGGGTGGTGTCTTAATGAATTTTCCATTAAAATGACCAATAACAGCTTCACACTTTTCTGTTGATTCCATCCTATTTATACATAAAAATAAGACATAAATAATCAAAGATATCTTAATTTTCATTTTGTTCTGTGCACATGAATACAATCTTATAGGTTTATTTGCTACAAATGAAACCTCACAAAAAAAATGAGTGATAAGAAGAAGTGGGTTTATTCTGTCTTTTATTTAAGTGTTGTTTGTGTGCTTCCATGGTAAAATGAAAGCCTGATAAACAGAGTACCTTCAGAATCATAAAAGAAATAAATTATACCTTTAATCAAGCATAAAAAATGTATAATTTTTTTCTACTTATTCAAATTATAATCAATACACAATAGCTTTATTAGTTATGATACTGAATTAAAAACAAAAACACCAGTTTAAACTACTAGTGTATTTAGTGCCACTAGGATACTGCTCGTTTTAGAGATGGTCCTTCCTATTACTTATTCACAAAACGACAGACTCAAAAGTCATGAAATGAATTGGGGCTGAACAGAGGATGTGTCTTACAAGTTTTTCACCTTAGCTTCAAGTTTAAAATTAGTGAAGTCAATTATGTTCCTTCTTGGCTTTAGAGGAAGAATTAAAGGATGGAGACTAACAACTTATTCTACATCTGCAGAAACATTTCAGGGGAATTAAATAATTTTGATTTATTTTTCTTTAATGGAGGAAACACTGAATAACCTGCTGAAAATGCACTGTACTCCTGGAACACCCAGAATAGTTGCACTTTGATTTTAATGGGTGGTAGGTAATAGTGACTGAAGTCACTCAGTCGTGTCTGACTCTTTGCGACCCCATGGACTGTAGCCTACTGGGCTCCCGGGTCCATGGGATTTTCCGGGCAAGGGTACTGGAGTGGGTTGCCATTTCCTTCTCCAGAGGATCTTCCCGACCTAGGGATCGAACCCAGGTCTCCCGCATTGCAGGCAGACGCTTTACCCTCTGAGCCATGAGGGGAGCCCCTAATGGGTGGTAATAGTGGTAATTAAAAAGCATTAGAATTTAACTGGGTTCCATCTTCGGATATAGAAACGAAAGTCCTTCATCTGCTTTCAGAAGAACACCCACAGAAGGACGATTTTTCAGATGGCGCTGGGCCTTTCACTGTTTCACCTGATCCTTTTAACCCATGAAGTGCACAATGGGTTCTGGCCTTGGTGACTTTCCACTTGTAGAATATTTTAGTTTTATTATAAAATCATCTGGTCTAACAGAAAGAGCAATGAGTTGAAAGCCAGAAGAACCAAGTACTAGACCTTGCTTCATCGCTTCGCAACCCCATGACAATGTCCTTTCTTTAACTCAATTCTTTTCATATGTGAAGCGTGAACAATGCTTGCTTTGTTGATATCACAGGCCTGTGGTAGATGCGACTGTCATCAAACAGGATAAGGCATTGGAAAGTAAAAAGTCAGCAATCCCCCCCCGCCCCCGCAAATCAAAGTCAATACTTTAAAACATGTAGACATTATTGGTTACTGCACAGAATTAATAGGTTGCTAAGCTCTGTAAAATCAGTTTTTGTATGTGGGCTTTCAGATTTGAATTATGTCAAAATCAAAGGAAGCAAACTAACCACTACACTGAAGTACCCTTTCTGAGGAGGAAGGGATAAAAGTAAGATGAAGGAATGAGGATGCTTTAAACATGTGCAACATTTTACTTCTTAAAAAACAATCTGAAGCAAAAGCTGTAAAGTGTTATAATGTTTGTAACAACTGGTGGTTAGGTGTCTGCTGTACTCTTCTCAATGTGTGAAATATTTCATTAAAAAATCTAATTTACTGATTTTATTGATGATGAACTGAAGTTCTACCTAATGAGACAAAAATACCAATTTCTTTATGAAATTTAGGAACCTGAGATTATTTTTTTAAGCAGTTTAGGCAACCTGATCTAATTAGTCAAAATATTAAGGAAACACACTTGCAAAACACACTTGCTCATGTGGTATTTCCTTACCCTGAGTCTCCAAATATTTAGGGTCCTCAGGTTTAAGAATGCCAGTGAGCTTCCAAAGATCTGGGGGAGATGCAAATTATTTTTTGTGCATAATTTAAGTTCATGGTTCAACTGGCTCCTATAACCCTGGCTCAAATCCTCTCTTCTTGCTCAATTTTTATTCTCCAGGAAATGTAGCAGAACTATTGTTGACATGAAGGTAGGGCAGTGTGCTTACCTAGCAAAGCCAACACCACGACTTGTCCCACTGGAATCGCGTAGTATCCTTGTAGAAATCACTTGTCCAAATGGTTTCAGCATATTTTCAAGTTCTTGCTCATCCATGGACAGTGGCAAATTAGAAATATACAAGTTGGTAGGATCTTGTTCCTGTTGCTAAAACGGAACAGGGAATTATCTGTTAATTTCTAATCGAAGGTGAGATATTTACATGAACACACTTTTACTTAGCCACTCTCTGAGTTCAGGTCCCTTTAAAGTACTAGCAAGTGAGACCATGGGAGCTACGGAACACCCAAGTCACCCTGGACACTCAACAACAGTGTCTGAAGCTTGGACAATCTGTGCAGGTCAGTCGCAATCCCACCAAACCATTCTTGGCAGGTTTGGAAGTGGAAGTGCTGGCAGGCACTGCTAAGTTGGAGAGGATGCCATCATGGAAGTACAAGTCTCAGCTGTTTGCAGTGTTCTGAAAAATAACTAACCTTGCCTCCACTACTATTTTTAGGAGCCCATTTCGAGCACACTATTGCACAGATGGTGGTTACTGCTAATAATTCGATCCAGAGACACATGATGGATTCTGGACCAAGTCATCCAAAATTCAGCAGTGGTTTGCCCAAATTCCCTTCTTTTGCTCTATGGTGGAGTCCTTACTACCTTGATCTGTGATCACCAATGGAAAATAGAGGGCTCTTAAGCTAACAAAAACAAAAAACCTACAAAGCCATATAAAATGACAGACTAGAGGCAGAGCAAATATTAGAATCTGGATAAAGCTAAACTCAAGTGTAGAAGGGGGTAGGGCATTTTGGGAAATCTTTGCTATTCAAAGAGTGATCCAGGAGCCAGCTGTGATGGAATTACCTGAAAGCTTACTAGAAATGTAGGATCCCAGGTCCAATCCCAGACTGATGTTATCAGAGACTGCATTTAACAAGATCTCCAGGAAGTACAAATGCATATGAAAGTCCAAGAAGCAACAATTAGACCATTTCCCACTCACCCTTCCATTGCGGAAGTAAAATCAGCTGAAATCAAACATAAGAACTGAATTTTCTGAGAATCAGTAACTGCTACATATAATTCTGCCTTTTTATACAGTTCATGGGGTTCTCATGGCAAGTATCTTGATTTACTAAGAGTTTGGTGTTAAATCATGAGGAAATAAGCTTACATGACAACTGGAATATTTTCTGAGCAAATAAAAATTCACCATGGCAATTATGAGATTGGAATGGTCTTAACTTAAAAATAGGCTTTCCTTTGATATTACTAACCAGCTGTTATCTTTACATATTGAACTATGCAAGTTTATGATTTTAACAAGCACTATTGTGCAGTGCTCAGCCACTTCAGATGTGTCTGACCCTGTGACCTATGGACTATAGCCCGCCAGGTTCCTCTGTCCATGGGATTCTTCAGGCAAGCACATTAAAGTGGGCTGCTGTGCCCTCCCCCAGGGGATCTTCGCAACCCAGGAATTGAACCCGTATCTCTGGCATGCTCCTGCATTGCAGGCAGGTTCTTTACCCACTGAGCCACCTGAGAAGCCCAACAAGCAATACTAGCAAAGTCATTAATTGATGTTTTAGTCTGAGGTATCAGAAAAGTGCACTCTGAATTTCAGATCTTCAAAATGTACAGAACTTTAAAAATAAATGTGAAGTATACAAATGTTTGGATTTGTACAAAGTCTCTACTTTCAAATGTTATTCTGGCATTAATTAAACACAAAATAAAACTTCTCCTTTTAGGTAATCTGCAAGTAAAAGTGGATACTGATCTTTCACGCTCTACCTAAGTTGTAAGACTTAAAACAGTAATCTGGTATCCCAGAGAAGAGTAAAACACCCTGGTAGTTCCAAGAATTAAAGTTATCACAGACTGTGAAGCTGCAGGCAAGAAGTACTCTCTCTGACTTCCTGATTCTGACAGAAGGCAGCCTGGAACCCCCAGTCCCAAAGGAATGGAGCAGAAGCTCCCAGCTTCTCAGAGGTGTGTCAGGTGCAGTTGGGTCCAATAAAAAAAAAATTAAGAATTTTCAAATGTTCAATAGTAAGCCAAAAACTCAATCTCCTTAACCCCTGACAGACTAAATAAAAACAGCTACTACCCTTGCTTCTGGCTGAAATTAAAGTCAGTGTGGTACCACTGGTTACCTTACGCAGAGTGAAAGCTCCCACTGACAATTACGTAAAGTGTATTTTTAAAGTATAAAAATTGCCAAGTGATTTAATAAATGCATAACAATAGATAAAAGGCTTCAAAATAAGGGGGAAAACAAGATGTTCTTAGGTATCAAATTTTTCAATTCTACTGAGGTAGGCTAAGAGGTAAAATCTCCATTCCTTATTTCCACTTCACTCACTACCTCCTCAATTTCGCCCACTTAATTGCACAGCTTCTCAATTAGCTACCGCATGTCAGCTCTAATCTCCTAAGTCCCTGAAGCTTTCCTGGAGTGTACGAGACTGTATGTGTTCCTGCGGAAGTCTGGTCCTTAGTTGGCAAACACAGATGGGATCCTTTCTTTCTGAAGGTGCATACTGCGGGGCCCTGTAGCCTAACACAGTCCAATAACAGTCACAGTGTATCCTGTACAACCCAGACCTTCTTACACAATAATTATGACCCCAGCCCCATCTTCCAACAGTTTACAGTTGGAGCTGGGTAGACAGAAACACACGAACTGAATGCTGTAATGGAGATGTGTACAAACCACAATGGGAGGACACGGAACACTTTTCAGAGGGCGTGACATTGAGTTGAGACCTGAGAAACACGCATAAGGCACGAGGCTGAAAACCGGACGGTGAAAAGCTATCCAAGGAGTTTGACTTTTTTGTCAGTCATCACTGCTTAAACTTTTCCACTTAAGGAGTGCAGCAGCAAAGAGAATGACTATGTCTCCTGCAAGTGTGTGGGCAATGGAGAAAGGAGCCTTGCTAAGGCTGCACAATTTCCTTTAAGCCTTGTGCTTTATCTGGAAAAAAAAAAAAAAAGCATGTGAATGCTGCAATCTACTCCCTAACTATCTGACTTTGTTTCAATATAGAAACAATATTTCTGATCTAATACTTTAGAGTCACAATGACACTCCAGGGAGATAAGCCATATTTATTCTGTAATTTCAGGTGCTCTGATGGGCGAAGTGCGAGGAGTAGGAAGGGGGAACCACAGCTAGAAAGCCACGCCCTAAAAAGTGGGGAGCTTCCTGAGGCACAGACGCAAGGGAGTGATGTGATCAAACCTATCTTATTAGAAAGGTTTCTGAATCATGCTTAGTCAGATTCAGAAGCTGGGAACTCCCTAATTAAGGAGCATTAAAACTCTCCTGGGACAAAGATATGGCATCAGAAATGTTATGCAAGAAAAATGTATCATATATATTATGAGCTTTCCTTTTGGGTTACAATTATTAAAATCTAAATGATGAACATTTAAGAGTATTTAAGAATGCTCATAGAATTTGTCATCTGTGAAGTATTTTCAAAAGAACTAACAATGTAAGGTAACCAAGTGCTTTCTAAATCTGTGTTTTACTTGCTATTATTAAAATACTGATTATTATTAAATATTATTACATATAATTAATAATTAAAATGTTATTCTTTAAAATGCTGATTCAATTTGAAAGTTTACCAATGAAGAAAAAAATAATTAAAAGTGCTAAATCAGAATCCAGAAATTGAGCTCCCAACCTACTCTATGATAGGTAGATAAGGCAGACTAAATATAGATAGGTATTTCCTATGATTTTAATGCATTTGTTTTCAATAGCAAAAGGTCAGTCAATTAGCTCTTTTCACTGGAATGACCTCCAGGGCTAATGTTATTTATCTTTCTTTTTAAACGGTCAACTTCTTCTGCATACAGTGTAAAAAAATAAAAAAACCAAAAATGAGAAGCAACTCCAACCTGGCAGCAATGGCCACAAAAATATCTAATCACCAAAAAAGGGTCCCTGTGTTCTAATCATGATACATTCATAGTAAACAGAACATACAGTACTTGCAGTAAGGGGAGTGGTTCTTGGATAAGGGCAATATTGCGCCTTTAAGTCAGGGACAACCATAACTCTGTTTTATGACATGCAATGCTATGTCTGAAAAAACAATTACTCTGTAAATTATGGGTGGTCAGACATAAAAATGCGGCCAATAGGCCTCTTTATATCCCAAGGCGGGGAAAGGGTTCAATGGCTTCTCTAACAAGTAGAAAACTAGATCCCACATTGGCCATGAGAGGGATAAATGGCTACTAATGTTCACTTGAGTAGAAAAGTAGGGCTCAGAGGTCCCACGTGGTGTAAAGCACTCAGTCATCATCTGAAAGAAATTAACAAAAACCTCCCTGTGCGTGTGGAATGGTTCCTAAAATGCAAGAAAGGGACTTGGCAGGAAGACCAGACATCTGTTTTCTCTTGTACTGAATAGGTTCACCAACCAGCAGATAGCTGCTTACGGGCATGTGAATGCAAACTGCTTGAAGCATGGTAGACCTCTGTGTGGAAGGGTGATTAAATTCCTGCTCCTTTGACTGCCTATTTACTGAAAAAAATTGCAAGCATACCACTAGGCAAATAACATGGAATGATGTGCTGACCCCCAGCAGGTCGGAAGAGGTACTGCTGAAAGGCCCACAGAAATCAGTTAACCAATGTTGATTTGAGTTTCATATCTTTTTAGCCCGTTATCTGGGGTTTCTTTCTTCTTTTCATAGATTCTGAGCCTTTTATTTTGAAAAATGCACACATTTGAAACAAATGCCCAGTGTAACATAAATGGGAATGACCTCGAGCCTTTTGGAAAACCTTTTGGTAAATTTCATCAGGGTACTCAATGGACAGAGCTCAATAAATATAATTTTTAAATGGTCCATTCTTATCGCTCCATATCTGCCCAAGCTGGGAAGTTTTCCTCATGCTTAATTGGCTTCTTTGATCATCAACAAAACAAACATTTAACATCTACCATATGCCAAGTACCAAGCAAGGCACTGAAATTAAAACACAAGAAACAATCACTGTTGTCCAAGGCTCTCCATTTGTAGTTTTATAATTCAGTTTTGAGTATTTGTGGAGTCCTTTTTCAACTCAGGTAGCCAAAATGTCAAACAATATTACATTTCCCCTTACCCACTAGAATGTCCCTGAATTTTTTTGATTGTGTAAAAGGGCAAGCCTTTAATATGTGGCAATGTGAATTTTCAAAAACTTTATAGTATCCAGATTAATTAAAGGAAGTGACAGTGACAGGTCTCTTATCACCCAAACAGAGGAGCCAGGCTTAAACTTTTAGAAATTGTCTCCACAAAAAGGTACAAGTCAGATAATCCCGTATCCAGATGGCATAAAGGGGCTAAGTTAACTCCCCATACTCACATCCATGGTTCTATGGCATAGAACAATGGACCCTCTACCATTTAAAATACCTTTTGTAGCTTTAATGGTATAATAAAAAAGAAATCAGGAAACTCAGTCATTCTGTAGAGACCTGAAGAAATACACGATGTGCAGGATGTTGGCACACTGCCAGTGCCTTGGAACCCCTGCACTGTCCATTCCCCACAGATGATGGAGGAAGCGATCATTTTTCCTAGCCAATTTACAGTCCCAAGCTGCCTGAGGAGGTCTTTGAACAGTGCTCATTACCAGTCCACGGGAAAGCTGGCGTTCAAAGCGCACTGTTGACACGAGACATACAGTGCCAATCTATACCCACTCAGGTTCTGCCTAAATGCATTGTAAAGACTTCTTCAAACAGCATATAGTTAATATACTATGCTACTCGACATCACTGGTACCGAAAAGATGCCTAGGTTCGTGCTCATGAGGCCTCTCTAAATCAGGCCTCGGCGTTAGCCCTAGTGGATTGTTAAAATAGGTCTCTTTCTAACTTTGTTTCAGCAGAAGTCACCAAAAAAAACCAAACACAAAAAATGGGTGTCAGGCACACCCGCATGCCAGAGCGAGAAAGCAGGCCTCCTAAACAGAGTCTGCATGGGAACTGAACTGGCTGAAGACTGGTTTTGGATGCTCAGCTCACCACCCACCTCCTGTCTGCCTGGGAGGGACTGCGGAGGCTGGGAATGAACACACAGGTGGGGAGAACCACTGATGTGTCCTATGATGTGCTCCACGCTACCATCAATTGGGCGTCTTCCTGCACCCTCCCTCCCCCGCCCACCACCAGCCAGGCGCGAGGGGCCTCAAGAGACCCCTCATGAAGCCTGGGCTGCATCCTCTGGAGTTTGGTGGATACAATGGATCAATGTCTGACTTAAGCCTGAGGAATCTAAAAGGCCTATAAGTGTGATTGGGAGGTAACTAGTTTCCCACAGACAGCTGGCAGACAGATCAATGTGGGCCACACAAGACGGAGTTGGCGCAGGGTTGTGTTAGATCCACCCAGGAAGGCTGTACTGAAGAACAAGAAGGTCCAAGAAGAAAAGGACTGAAGGCTGACCCTTAGGTTTTTCGGGGGTTGGGGCCCGTTTTTTTTTGGGTTGAGGGACCCCCGGGGGGGGGGGCGGGGCTTTTTCTTGGGGAAAGCATCAGTTTTCTCTCTGCCCAGAGAAATCAACACATCACATAATTGTCAGGTCAAGAAGCTTTCCCATCCTTTACCACTGCTCCAACCTGGGACGGGTAAGAAACCACAGCTAGCTCTGGAAGAGTGGGAAAAAACACACATTTGGAAAATAGGAAAGAACAAACCATGTTCCCATCCCAGGACAAGCTTACTAGTAAGAGCAGACCAGAGTCGGGGGGAAGGCAGAAGTTTTAGTATTATACGGCACACAAAATTTTGTCAAATAAACAGGACTGGACATCTCAATTACAGGCATCACACACTTAGCATTGGAAATGTGTTTGAAAAATCAGACATTCAGCATCAAAATGTTAACCATGTGTTACACATCTGTGTGTGTGTGTGTGTTTGTAGACAGATAGTAATAGATGGTTGTATTGGGATGTATTAATATTTCACATTATTTCAAATAAGAAAAAAAGCATAATGCATTATCATTAATCACAACCTCCAATTTCCTAAAATGTCACTAAATACACATCTTACAAATCTGTGTGTGTGTATCTATGTGTTTGGAAACATGTAAAAGATTCTCTTATTGGGTTGTAAACTGATAAAATATCACCTCTTGGTCACCAAATTATCAGTGTGTGGTTTTTAGCAGACAACTGCTTTGTAAGCTGTGATTTCTCTCAGCACCAGCAACATCCAAGATGCACATCCCTTTTGCTGACTCTCAGAACTGAGTTTTCAAAACCCTTACACAATTCTGAGATTTTATTAACCATATTTGGAATATAACTTGAGACTTCCCCCTTAAACATCTTGTTTAAAATATTGTATCGAGGTTGGTGTAACTACATAAAGGAATGGCTGAAAATGTGTTTAAAGATAATTATACTCCCTGAAGTTGGGACATGAAAAAAATCAAGGGGCACTCTAAAGAAAAAAATTAACCAGAAAGGCCTGAAATGAAACAAGCAACTGAAGGGACTTTTCAAAATAATGAGAGGTGCCAGAAAAGTCATGGGATCTGCCCTAGATTTTATCCATGAGAGGAAGAAACAGGAGCTTCAGAGTAGAGGAAATGGACAGAACAGAGGGAAAAATACAGTTCTTTTCTCATCGTGCCTTCAAAGTCCTGCTTAGAAAACATATGGTTACCCACGGTTTACAGAGACATATTAAACATTCTGTAAACCATACACAACACAAGTATTGCATATTCACAGTTAAACACACTAAAGCCTCATAATCACTGTCTTTCAACAGTACCACAAGAAGGTGCTCTATATTATGGACAAACAATCTAAAAATCAGGGTGTCCTCACTCTAGAGAGGATGTGTCCTTAGTATTTACAGTTTATTTTAGCTTCTTGCTTTGGACTTTATCTTACCCCAGAGGTCTAAAAATATTAAAAGTCAAGGATAACTTTAGAAAGGTGATGAAAGTGCAAGCGTTAGTCACTCAGCTGCGTCCAGCTCTTTGCGACCCCGGGGACTGTGGCCCACGAGGCTCCTCCGTCCACGGGGTTCCCCAGCCAAGAACACTGGAGTGGGTAGCCATTCCCTTCTCCAGGGATCTTCCTGACCCAAGGACTGAACCTGGGTCTCCCACATTGCTGGCAGATTCTTTACCATCTGAGCACCAGGTAAGCCCCTTTCATCAACTTCTGAAATCTTTATTCATGCTGATTCTTTCAGTCAAGGGAAATCTCTATTCTGGTAGCTGCATATTTGTCCTTCAACAGCTTTAAGGGCTTAGCAGGTAACTTATTTCAACCAGGGTTCTTTAACTTTCATAAATCTCCTTCCCTTATGGAAATGTGAGTGCTCCTCAGGGAAAGATCACAAGCTACTCTTCAGAAGAAGCAGAGGACAGCACAAAATTACTTTGTACTTCAAGAAACCGGATAATATAAAATTATTGATCTTTTGGAAAGACTAAGTGCACTAGGTATGATAAAACCCAAGTTTACATGCAGGCAATAAAACCTGGAGCACAAACACCACTTCTATGATAAGAGTTCATTGAAATTGTAGGATTATTAATTTCATTAATAATCAATGTCTAAAAATGTCTCTTTTATATAGAGGAAATATTATCTGTAGCTGACACTGCATTAAAACTACTAGTATATCTGTGCAAGCCTACATACGTGATAAAGTATATTATTCTTTCAGAACATAACATTCTGAAGTATTTCTAAAATGTATTAATTCCTTAAACATTGAAATTTTAAAATTATTTTTAAACATAAAGTACAGAGCTTTAGTCCACAAGTACCCAATTACCTGAGAAAATTTGATACTATTTCTCCATTTACTTATGGGCTTACATAATCTGCTATGAAAAATTTTATACAGTTGTAAAATTCTTTTTCACTCATAAAATTATGAGGAACTGTCTTTGGCAAAATAGCTACTACTGAGGATGTGAAGGCAAGGGGCAAAAGTCCCCAGTTAACTGTGACTTGCTGGGATGGAAGGAGAACTTGCATGGTGACAGGACAAGCCATGCGCCCAGATTCAGAAGCAAAGCCAGAGACGGGAGGAAGGAGTGTCAGTTCTCAACTCACCTTTGCCATCTGAGCTTGAACCCCACTTGCCTTCAGGGCGGACACAGCCTTCTGAGCTGCTGCAGGACTGTCAAAGTCAACAAAACCATAACCTGAAATGCAAAACATAGTGTTTAAGCCGTTATTTTACGATTGTGTAAAGAGGGAAAGGATGACTCCATTTGGTCTCCGAGGCGGCAACAGAAATGAAAACCCCGACGTTCTGACAGTCCCCAGCTTTACAATTGTACTGCAGCATCCTTCTCAGACTGTCCGTCCCGCCTATCCGGGCTAGGTAAGTTTCCCTTCAAAGTTTTTTTAAAAAAGGAAATAAAGAGAAACCAGTTTATTTCCCTTTCCAGATCTTTTTCTCAAGTGTCTTGTACTTGCTGGGGTGAGGTGGGGGATTGGGGAGGAAGACATCCAAGTTACCAATCAAGATTTTAAAAAAAGGCAGAGGGGGGGAAATCAACTTCAGGAAAAAAGTAGCATTTAAAAAAATCTGGTAAGAAAGATGGAGCTATCCTACAGAGCTTACAAATATTTGTTTATTCCGTACATTTTAAAAATAAATTCAGTACAACCATTGGATACTCGACATATAAAATAATCTACATATTAGAACTTATTTAAAAATATTACCTATTTATCTAAAATACAGCTCACAATCTCTTCAAAATAAATAAAGGGCGGTAGGGAAATGGTTCCAGGAACACAAAATAGCTGTTTTAATGTTCCTGACCTAAAGACTAAAAACAAAACATAATAAAACAAACAAATAAACAAGCTCCTAAGAGAGGCCCTGGTTCAAAGTTTATTTATCCATAGTTTTTCAAACATTTTAAACAAGCTGGTCAGCTATTTTCCCTGGCTATAACAAATCAAAAGCAGGAAATTAGAGGAAAGAGGGGCCAGGTTGAGGGTAGGGCTGCTACAAAATCATATGGATGGTACCTAGCGAAAATTAACAGCAACCAATTAAAGAGGAAAACGATATAAAGAGCAGGTGTTACAGAGCACGTGAGCAACAGTTCCATGAACCTCACCAATCCCGTAAGCATCACTGTATTAAATCAGGTAATCACTAATTTGCCACTGTGGTAAGTCTTAAATTATTAAGAAAAGGTTCAACTGTATTTAAAAGCACATTGGTGAAATGATCAGGGTTCTAGGCAAAAATATCAACAGAGATCTACTTGGGACTCAAACCTATTATCAAATTAATGTTAAATGAGTAAGAATATTTTGAAAAAGGAAAGTCTTGTCTGGAAGTTACACAGAAGAGGGGCCAGGCCTATAATTTATTTATGGATATTATAAAGCTACAGTAATTTAGACAGGAAGGAACTAGGGTCAAAACATACACATCAACAGGACAAAACAGAAATTTCAGAAGTAGTTCAAAGAGTGTGCAGTGTTAGTAACAAAAATATTGACCTGGTAAAAAATTAGTGAACTAGACTATGAATTATAGAAATCGGTGTTTTAGAGAGATGAGTGTCAAAGCTAAAACAAATAACAGCTTCTTTCTATTACTTGGAATTGTGATGGAATAAGGCTTAATTTGATTTTGACAGTGAGCAGAGAAATACCCAGGTGGGAAAGGAAAAGAGGAGGCTGACCCAGGTAAAAACAGAGAATGCTCCTCAACAGCCAGGTTAGAAATTATGTTAAATATATTTCATATTTTTTAAAGAAATCTGTTATTAACACTAATATGCAACCCACTCTGAAGATGCATGTAGGCACACACATACTCACTCTCTCATGCTCATACGTATTTTATTACCAAGCAGAACTTAAGCAGGTCATAAACGAACACCCAACTACATTGAAATGATGTAACTTCTAATGGATGTTTAAGAGTCCTTCTTTAATTTTACTGTTGTCAATAAATTACAGTAAGATGAAGATCCCAAGTTTGATGTTAATGTAGTTGAAGTTTCTACTCAAGTACTGTTAGTATTATTTTATCTGTTATTTCCTTATTAGGAAAAAATCCATAATGGCTGCATTTTAGCTAATTGTTTACATTCTTTTCTGGCCTTGCCCAACTACGTAGCTGTTTCATAAATATTTGCTTAAAACAAATATAACATGCTTATGCATGCATCCATGTGCTCTTTCACTTTCCTTGTTATAATACTTTCAAGTAAATATAAGAGCATATAAATCAGTCTCACAGATTCTCTGGGGTTTCATTATTTAAGCATGTATACGGATATTTTTTGAAGGTGGGAGTCACCAAATAACACAGCATCCTCTCACTGGAACCCCAGGAGGATTCCTCCAGGTCTCGGGACCAGGCACAGTTACGGCATTTCTGCTTCGTGGGTTTTCTTCTACACTGAGATTACCGAATCATGGGAATAGGTATGTTATTTTTGGTTTGGCAACCAGGAAATACAGGGCCATTTCTGTAGTAACAGGAAGCTTCCTGCTCTTACCCCTGTTTTTCCTTTGGTCTGATTTATCCTCACCCATTTTGTGTGTGTTTGTGTTTTCCGGTCTTATATGCAACTCTGTAAACACTGAGCACAATCGATCCTTTGTAAGTTTTTCTCGGTCCTGAACTGCCATGTACACCAGAGCTGAGAAGCATTTAAACACCTTTTGTTGGCTAAAAACTGGCAAAAGTTGAAATGTAGGAGAGCAACTGAATAATGAATTTTTAAATTTAATAACTACAGCAACATGTTATTCACAGCAATATTTCCTTCCGCTTAGTTTTGTCTTCTGGAGAAAGGCCCCAAAATACGTTTTGTGACCTAAAAATGTACTATGACCTCTAAGGTCTCTAATTTTCAGGTAGGAAATGCTTTGATCGGTTCAATCCCTAAAAATTAGTGTACAATACAAGCACTTTTCATTTATACTAATAATTTCTTAAGCATTACCTATTTCATCCACCCACCCACCTTCTCAAGTTATCTATAACATGGCTACTAACATGTTACCTGTCTTTATAGTGAGCTATGCTGTTTTCTTTTATTCTCACTCGTCCCCAAATTACTTTTTTTCAGGAGTTCTTTCATTGCCCCGTCCAGAATTTTATAAATCCATTCCTGCTTACTCTCTCTCCTCACTCACTCATCCACACCCCAGATATCTATCGTTGTGCCTTTCTGAGAGGCCTATGTGACACAAAAAACCTTATAAGGTTTCTGTCACTGCCCCCACATACAAGCCAGTCTCTCCTACGACTCAATTTAGGAGAAATTCTCCAGGAGACATGTATCGAAAACTAGCTCTGATTTATACTTATTTAGAAGCCCCACAAATCTCCCCACTAATCTTTGGACTCTTGTCAAATATCATGGGTTTATATTATTATAAGATGTTAGGTTTAGTATTTTTTTTCCCCACTCACAGCATTTCTAGATCACGCTAAGCATCTTGTGGACTTTTGGTTTCTTGGCAACTGGGTCTCGTTGGAGAAGAGTGTAAAACAGCAGTGTCCAGCGCAGATGCGTAGCAGAGAATTCGCTCAGGGAGGCTGCTGGGTCCTCTCTCTCACTTAACTAGGGCAGCTCTGCTTTTTAACACTGACCTGTGTGAAGACTTCTTTTTTGAGGGAGAGGGAATTGGGTGGGGTCAGAAGGAAGAAAGGTAGGTAAGGCTGTAAAACTATCGTCTACTGTGATTTCTCTCTTGGTTTGAAACAAATGCTGAGATCAGCTTCCTGGTTTATACCTGCATGAGTCCATCTCTTGGTGATAAAACCAAAAAGCTTTTTCCTGTGTCCCTGCTCATCCAAATCATTTTTAAAATATGTCAAACAAGACTAACCTGGTAACTGGGTAAACATTTCAATCTACAATTAGACTCTCTCCAGTTTAATTCACTTACAATATTAATTGAGTATCACTCTACATAAAGCACTGTTCTTATTCAGTGTCCTATGGCAAAACTGCCTGAAAGTGCCATGCTGATTAAACATGGGCTCAGATATTTGCCACAATAGCGCCTTTAAATTCAGGAGCTTTGAAGAAGAGACAGGAGTACAATGAATCACTTCAAGTCTAGATTAAAGGAAACGGCTGGCTTCTAAGGCGAGGCCCTACCGTTCCATAGGCTTCACTGACGTTCTTTGCCTTGTTCAGATTGTGCTAAGTCACAACCATCACCCCTACTTGGAGAACGGGTCTAATTAATGAGGAGATTTGCCTTCTCTGCCTATTCCTGTCAACCTTATTTCAATTCATGGGGTCAGTTGTTAGACTCAAAGTCAGCTGATTCCATTCTTCCCTCTTCCTAGAAATCACATGCCTATTGTTAAGATGCTGGATCATTAAAAGTCAGAGCCACAGAGCATCAGTGCTGCCTACTGTAGACGCCTCCTCTTCCAGCTCATGGAGCTGGATGAGCTCATCCTAATTACACGGAAAACTGAAGGTCAGTGCATCAAATTAATGCAGCAGCATATTTCAAAGGGGCGTATGACCTCCCCTCCCTATTACAATTTGGTCAGTGAAAATGGTTCTCCCCTCCCTGCTGCCAATATTGTCAACAGGCATTCAGCAGAGAACAATTGGGAGTATTGAAACATGTAATTAAGTACTGCTTAAAACTACTCTATTCTAATTAATAGAGCCAATTTGCACAATATGTAATCTTTTCAGTTCTTTAGTACAGTCCAATGGTCTTCGGTAAGCAGCTCTAATCTTCTCAGGCTCAGGAAAGAAAAGCTATTTTCTAACTCTACTCCCCCTTAAAAAGCAGGGGATAAATGCCAGCCACTATTTTGCATGTTAACTCTACTGGTGTCAAATCTAGGATTCTGGCAAGCAGCTAGCTGCTGTTGGGTTTCTAGCCAAAACTCAACCAGGGACCAACATAAGCAATATGCCGACACTGTGCAAGACAGAAACTGGCTGACATATAAGATTTGGGTTTTAATAAATGGAGGTAGTTTTGAAATGAAAGATCAGGTTGAAAATTCCACTTTTTTTCTAAAGCTCTGATGTAGTAAATCATCAGACAAGGAAACATACCTTTGCATTTGTTTGTTGTCTTATCCAAAATTGCCTTTGTGGAAACGATCTTCCCATAACTAAAAAAAGAAAAAAAAAAGAAAGAGGTTATAATTGAGGAATCTTTATTAATATCTAAGTCCAGAGAACACACACACTTCTCAAACCTCGGCAAACTTTAAAGCATAAAACGTTCTTTACTAGGGGACAGGAAATGAGAATTCGAAACTCAAGCTAAACTAAAAAGGAGGAATGGCTAGACCTCTCATTTGGCTCTCTGGATTATAGTTTGATACTCAGCTTTGAGAAATCAGGCACTTACCTGGTGATCTTGGGACCAAGGATATGGAATGTGAGCTTTAGGAAAAGTAGCTTCTCTACAAAAAGCAACACTAGTAACCTTAGTAACACTGTGTGTGTGTGTGTGTGTGTGTGTGTGTATGTGTGAGTCGCTCAGTTGTGCCCGACTCTTTGTGACCGCATGGACTGTAGCCCACCAGGCTCTTCTATCCATGAGATTTTCCAGGCAAGGATACTGAAGGGGGTTGCCATTTCCTTCTCCAGGGGATCTCCCCAACCCAGGAATTGAACTCAGGTCTCCTGCACTGCAGGCAGATTCTTTACCGACTGAGCTACAAGGGAAGCCCCATAGTAGTACTATGTCTGTGGTTAAATACAAAGCCAAAGGCAAGGCTGCAGATTTGTTAAGGGAAAGGACTACGATGCAGATAGCCTTTATGAATGAATTGAGGCAAGAAAGCTCCCTGAATCACTCTATTCATTTTGCTTTTGCAGGTGATTCTGTGTGGCTCTATATCATCACAGAAGGGTGTGCTGGAATATGTATCTTTAACACGCTTGATGGGATATTTAAAAGTATTTTAAATCTAATATTTAAAACAGGTCTTTTTATCTAAAATTTTGATGATTGTTTACAAATATATTTTAAAGACCTCTTTTAATGCTATAATAATAGTTACACAGTGTACTCACTCATGTATGTGTGGGCATGTGTGTGAAAGAAATAGGCAATAAAAAAACAAAAAACAATGAACCAGGAATCAAGCATTAATCTATGAGGGTTTGTATGAAAAATGTCTTCAAATTCCTTCATGTACAACAGAAGTTGGGGAAAAAAGGGAAACAATTCAGAATGCTAAAACTGAGTGCACTGCTATGGAAAACAAAGGGGGGGACTTCCCTGATGGACCAGTGGCGAAGACTCTTGAGCTCCCAAAGCAGGAGGCCCTGGTTCAAACCCTGGTCAGGGAACTAGATCCTGCATGTCTCAACTAAGACCTGGTACAGAAAAATAAATAATTAAAAATAAGTTTAAAGAAAACAAAGGGGCAAGAGAGTTTAAACATATGACCTACCCTATATCCTTTCACAGTGACCAGACTACAATGCAAAGCACTGCTATCTATGTTTGTCTTCAAAAAACAGAGAAGACCTTCGAAAAATAATTCTTAAAAATTACTGGGTCTATGGGAAATACATCTAACATACTTCAGGTATCTGAGACTATTTCCACATTTATACACGGCAAATCCCCAAACTTTAATTTTCTATATATTTACTTGAAAAATTTCACATTTTCTCTAATATTATTTTCTTGTGATTGCTGCTGAGGACTAAAAAGACTTAAAGGTTTTAGGAAAGGGAAGTATCTGTGCAGTACTTTAAAACATTTTCAATGTTGCAGGTTTCTATTTTATGCATTTGAACAAGCTGAAAGATACTTATCTAGAAGAAACAAATAGTTTGGGCCACCACTCTCCCTCAGTTAATTTCACTCTGTGTAATCATGTAACCAAATGATTACTAACTAGGCATAAAAGTAAAGATAATTTAAGGTTTAAATGACAATTACATCCAAGAGGCATAAGGTGGCATAAACACCTTTAATTCCCTGTGAGGATTTTGAGTATTTGCAGCAACCTTAACAGGAGGTCACAAAGCTTACAACGTTTAAAAAAAAAAAAAAAATCTGCAAACCAGAAAAAAGTTGAGTGATTTAAAGACCACCTTTTAGCAACCATTTATCTGCCTACGTTGTTGACACGCTTGATATTTATTTATCAGAACTCTCTCCTTTGCACAAGTTTTAGCTGAAAATGCTTTTAGACTGCATCCCTACCTCAGCCCTTTCCAAAAGCGGGGAAGAAAACTGGTATGATTTCAATGTAGGATGAAAGGTATTGGGAGCTACAGAGATTAAGGGACTCTGCTTGAGGTCGCAGAGTTCAAGGTCTTTTGTAAACCAAATAGAAGGACATTTAGAGAAGGTCAGGGGCTGGCCTTCTATCTTTCTGGTTCTGCTCTCCACATTAATAATGAGGAAGAAGACTTGGAGAGAGGAAGGCGTGGGAAGCAGGGAAAGAGGAGAGGCTCCTGGTAGCACCGACTGGAGACTCCATCCGTGCCATCCTTTGCCTGGTTCGGGTTCTCTTTGATCTTTGCTACATCTGACATCACTCCTCACTTTCACATCTTGGCTTCTAGGACCCTCATTCTGGGGATCCCATCTCACCTTTCTGCACTCTCTTTCGGTTTTTTTTTTCTTCCTCATTAGGCTCCCTCCTCTCTCTCCTTAACCACGTTCTTTCATCGCATTTAATAATTAGTCCTCCACCCTTCTCTTCCCTAGGAAATATATCCAATGCCATGGATTTAATAAATGAATCTTCTTTGATGAAGCCAATTTCTCCTTCCTGGGTTTTTATTTTAATCCGACCAAAATTTTAGTTTTTGTCTTCCTCTCTTTACTTAAAATCTTAGTATCTTACTAAAATATAAAATACTTAAATATCTAGTTAAATGTTACCTCATGTCCTCTATTTTCTAAGTCGTATCTCCAAAGAACCCTAGACAAATCTTTCCTTGTCTCCTCTTCATGTATCTTATCATTCTATAGCACCATCAGATTCCCAATCTTCCATCAAGTTTGTCGTCCCTGAAGTGAAGTGAAGTTGCTCAGTTGTGTCCGACTCTTTGTGACCCCATGGACTGTAGCTTACAAGGCTCCTCTGTCCATGGAACTTTCCAGGCAAGAGTACTGGAGTGGGTTGCCATTTCCTTCTCCAGGGGATCTTCCTGACCCAGGGATCGAACCCCGGTCTCTTGCATTGCAGACAGACACTTTACCGTCTAAGCCAGCAGAGAAGCTGATGATGTCCCCGAGACATCATCAACTTGGCCATTCTTGAATCCAGCTAGTCATTAACTCTTTTAACATGTGTCTAATATTAATTTGCCTTAAACATTACTTTGAACATGGTTCTCTCTGGGGCTTCCTGGTGGTCCAGTGGTTAAGACTCTTGTCTTCCCAATGCAGGGAGCATGGGTTCAATCCCTGGTGGGGAACTAAGAGCCCACATGCTGCACAGTATAACACATTTAAAAGAAAAGGGGCGGGGGAGGTGAGAGTTGAACATGGTTCTCTCATCTCTCCATTGCCCCCTCCTACCAATCTTTGAATTTAAAGAACCTGTTGTAACACTAGATCTTCCATGAAACCATCCCTAATCTCCTCAACCATTCAGTGGGCGATTTTATAAGAAACCAGAAAGGGAATTACATTTACTTAGTTTCTACTACAGTTCTAGGCATTTTCTGTGTATGATCTTATTTAACTTCACAATAATCTTAAGAGGTAGCTGCTATTATTCTCACTTTTGCAAATGGGAAAACAAAAGCTCAGAGAAATTCTGGGTCTAAGATATTGTCTAACACATCAAAACCAAAAAATAGTTACATTTAAGTTCTTACTGCAGTTTCTCCATGAAATGAGAAATGCGCCAAGGCTTCGGTTGTGACCACCTCTCTAGGCAAGTGTGAATCTCGCCAGTGCCTCCCCCAGGGGACCGTTGCAGCCGGCCAGCCCCCACTCCGTGGTAACCATGTGTGACTGAAAGGCTGTGATCAAGGATGCCGATATGTCGGAGAAGATGCAACAGGACTCGGTGGACTGTGCTACTCAGGCCTTGGAGAAATGTAATATAGAGGAGGACATTGTGGCCCGTATCAAGGAGCCCGACAAGAAGTACAGCCCCACCTGGCACTGCATCGTGGGGAGGAACTTCGGTAGTTATGTGACACGTGAAACCAAACACTTCATCTACTACCTGGGCCAAGTGGTCATTCTCCTGTTCAAATCCGGTTAAAAGCATGGACTGTGCCACATACCCAGTGATCCATCCAAAAACAAGGACTGCAGCCTAAATTCCAAATACCGGGGACTGAAGTCTTCAGCCTTGGTGTTCCTAAGGGAACACCTCCATCTTTGAACCTTTATTGTGTTTTGTTCAGGGCATTCTCTGTACTAGTTTGTCGTTATAAAGCAATTAGCGAAACAGCTTACATCTGTATTTTCTATTCCACACCTCTCTGCCCCATGTTTTTTCTCTTCAAAATCCATTCCTTTAAAGAAATAAATCTGTTGGAGAAGTGTGTGCTAATTACCGTTTGTTCAAATAATTTGTTGAAGATGGCCTATTACTTGATCTTAAGTAGTCTGGTGGGGGTGATTTCTTGAAGTTTCTGTGGGATGTAACAGACTAGCCTATTCAACACATTTGAGTTTCATTCTTGCCCATCCTGCTCCTGTTGTGCATGGAAGAATACTACTCAGAAGTGCATGTTGAGAAATGCCTGGCAGGGAAACTTACTGGATTAACTCTTACTCCTAACCTGATAAATACATTCCTTAAGTGCTCCTTCTGTGATAACTGCTATACAGTGTTCTGGGCCTTAGGCCTCAAGAGATGACGAATGTGTAGTAGAACTCTTAGTTTCCTATGGCTATAAAATGGAAATAAACTGGCGAGAAAGTTGGGCTAGTGAGAAATTTGTTGGGCTCTAGACATTTCCCCTCCCCTGCCTTGGCCAAAATATACTCTAAAGATGAAGGGTGGTCTTAAAGGGAAAAAGCTTTTGAGCAGCGGCCCTCCATGTGATTCTAATAAAGTCTGCAGGAATTAAAAAAAAAAAGAAATGATTTTGAGAAACAATATTTCCTTTATATACTCAGAGTATAAAAGATGAGGGGAAAAAAAAGGAAGATCTCTTCTATTAAGGC